AGGAGTGAGTACACGCCTCACATTTTTGTAAACATTTTATTCTATCTTTTCATGTGATAACACTGAAGAAATGACACTTTGCTACAATGTAAAGTAGTGAGTGTACAGCTTTTATAACAGTGTACATTTGCTGTCCCCTCAAAATAACTCAACACACAGCCATTAATGTCTAAAGCGCTGGCAACATAAGTAAGTACACCCCTAAGTGAAAGTGTCCACATTGGGCCCAATTAGCCATTTTCCCTCCCCGGTGTCATTTGACTCGTTCGTGTTACAAGGTCTCAAGTTTGAATGGGGAGCAAGTGTGTTAAATGTGGTGTTATCGCTCTCACTCTCTCTCATACTGATCACTGTAAGTTCAACATGGCACCTCATGGCAAAGACCTCTGAGGATCTGAAAAAAAGAATTGTTGCTCTACATAAAGATGGCCTAGGCTATAAGAAGATTGCCAAGACCCTGAAACTGAGCTGCAGCACAGTGGCCAAGACCATACAGCGGTTTAACAGGACAGGTTCCACTCAGGACAGGCCTCGCCATGGTCGACCAAAGAGGTTGAGTGCATGTGCTCAGCGTCATACCTAGAGGTTGTTTTGGAAAATAGACATATGAATGCTGCCAGCATTGCTGCAGAGATTGAAGGGGTGGGGGTCAGCCTGTCAGTGCTCGGACCATACGCCACACACTGCATCAAATTGGTCTGCATGGCTGTCGTCCCAGAAGGAAGCCTTTTCTAAAGATGATACACAAGAAAGCCCGGAAACAGTTTGCTGAAGACAAGCAGACTAAGGACATGGATTACTGGAACCATGTCCTGTGGTCTGATGAGACCAAGATAAACTTATTTGGTTCAGATGGTGTCAAGCGTTTTGTGGCGGCAACCAGGTGAGGAGTACAAAGACAAGTGTGTCTTGCTTACAGTCAAGCATGGTGGTGGGAGTGTCATGGTCTGGGGCTGCATAAGTGCTGCCGGCACTAGGGAGCTACAGTTCATTGGGGGAACCATGAATGCCAACATGTACTATGACATACTGAAGCAGAGCCTGATCCCCTCCCTTCAGGGATTGGGCCACAGGGCAGTATTCCAACATGATAACGACCCCAAACACACCTCCAAGACGACCACCGCTTTGTTAAAGAAGCTGAGGGTAATGGTGATGGACTGGCCAAGCATGTCTCCAGACCTAAACCCTATTGAGCAGCTGTGGGGCATCCTCAAAACGGAAGGTGGAGGAGCACAAGGTCTCTAACATCCACCAGCTCTGTGATGTCGTCATGGAGGAGTGGAAGAGGACTCCAGTGGCAACCTGTGAAGCTCTGGTGAACTCCATGCCCAAGAGGGTTAAGGCAGTGCTGGAAAATAATGGTGGCCACACAAAATATTGACACTTTGGGCCCAATTTGGACATTTTCACTTAGGGATGTAGTTGCCAGCGGTTTTAAACATTAATGGCTGTGTGTTGAGTTATTTTGAGGGGACAGCAAATTTACACTGTTTTACAAGCTGTACACTTACTACTTTACATTGTAGCAAAGTGTCATTTCTTCAGTGTTGTCACATGAAAAGATATAATAAAATGTTTACAAAAATGTGAGGGGTGAACTCACTTCTGTAAGATACTGTAAATCTGTATAGGAATGTAGCTGTAGCTAGAAACTCCTGAATTAACTGTTGAATTCTTTTAACACTCAGCACAGTGAAAAATTCTATACTGAGTATATAATATGTAATAATAGAACCTAAATTGTCCTTTTGCTCTGTCCAGGAAGGAGACACGAAGAGGAACTATTGCTATTTGTGGAATTTGTTGGAAGGAAAGAAATCTTCATACATGACATACCTTCCAGACCTCCATGAAGTCAAATACCCTTATTAACTGATAACCATACAAAGGAGCTAATGCACCTTTTTTCATATAAATTACAATGCCAATACATATCCTTCCATACTTAGTTCTACTATAGCCCATGACATAGACAGTGAATCTCTAGGGCTTGTTTATGAAAAATGGAGCAACAGTAGCACTGATCATTACAGATACCATTCAGGAGCAAAACTTGTACTAATTCCTACATAAACCAAACAAATGACTTGATTTACTAAAGATAATCAATAATAGTTCCAGTTTAAGAGTACCACAAAATGCTGTACTCACTAACCTAACCAATAAACATTTTTTGCTTAAAGGGTCTTTTTCTCTTATGAGCATGTATGGTCACTAAGATTACCCTAGACATGGTGGATGAAGCACTTTTAAAAATGATTGGAATGAGATTTTTAACACTATCATAGAATAATTAGAATATTGTGCACAAACAAACTACAGGCAAACCTTTTTTGTTGTAGTTTTGGATAGTGGAGTGGAGAGGGATTAGAACTCCTGCCAGGTTTTTGTTGTTGTCTGTGCCATCATTAGGGAGATTCAGCATCTCTAGTTGTCCAATTTATCATTATTAGAGATGAGCGAATCGAACCAGGCGAAGTGGAATTCGATTCGAATTTCAGGAAAAATTCGATTCGCGTCGAATCCGAATATTAGCCTACTTCGGGTGCGCGAATCGGATTTTTCCCGATCAGCCGGCAAAAGTGTCCCTGCAGAGAGCTCCGCTATTTCTGACAGTTCTCTGACAGTTCCTTCACATGTACAGCGGTTGAAACATTGTATCTATTTGTTTCCATTTAGGATACAGATGTTTTTATTCGGAAACAGATACAATGTTTCAACAGTAGAACTGTCAGAAATAGAGGAGCTCTGCAGATACACTTAGCGGAGAGCTCTGCAGATACACTTTTTGCCGGTTTGGAATTCTTCTTATTTTCATCCTACTTCTTCTTCTTCTTCTTCTTCATCCTCATCCTCAGAAGAAGATTGAAGAAAGAGGATGAGGATGAAGAAGAAGAAGAAGAAAAAGTAGGATGAAAATAAGAAGAATTCCAAGCCGGCAAAAAGTGTATCTGCAGAGCTCCTCTAAGTGTATCTGCAGAATAGAGGAGCTCTGCAGATACACTTTTTGCCGGCTTGGAATTCTTCTTATTTTCATCCTACTTCTTCTTCTTCTTCTTCCTCTTCATCCTCATCCTCATCCTCTTCTTCTTCTTCTGAGGATGAGGATGACGAGAAGAAGAAGAAGAAGAAGTAGGATGAAAATAAGAAGAATTCCAAGCCGGCAAAAAGTGTATCTGCAGAGCTCCTCTAAGTGTATCTGCAGAATAGAGGAGCTCTGCAGATACACTTTTTGCCGGCTTGGAATTCTTCTTATTTTCATCCTACTTCTTCTTCTTCTTCTTCTTCCTCTTCATCCTCATCCTCTTCTTCTTCTTCTTCTGAGGATGAGGATGAAGAAGAAGAAGAAGAAGAAGAAGTAGGATGAAAATAAGAAGAATTCCAAGCCGGCAAAAAGTGTATCTGCAGAGCTCCTCTATTCTGCAGATACACTTAGAGGAGCTCTGCAGATACACTTTTTGCCGGCTTGGAATTCTTCTTATTTTCATCCTACTTCTTCTTCTTCTTCATCCTCATCCTCAGAAGAAGAAGAAGAGGATGAGGATGAGGATGAAGAAGTAGAAGTTGGTGGAAAAATAAGAAGAATTCCAAGCGGCAAAAAGTGTATCTGCAGAGCTCCGCTAAGTGTATCTGCAGAGAGGCTCCGCTATTTCTGACAGTTCTGTGACATTCCCTCCATACAGCGGTTGAAACATTGTATCTATTTGTTTCCATTTATGGAAACAAATAGATACATCCTTCTCCATCTCCTTCTTCTCATCCTTCTCCTTCTTCTCATCCTTCTCCTTCTCCATCTTCTCATCCTTCTCCTTCTCCTTCTTCTCATCCTTCTCCTTCTCCTTCTCCTTCTTCTCATCCTTCTCCTTCTTCTCATCCTTCTCCTTCTCCTTCTTCTCATCCTTCTCCTTCTCCTTCTTCTCATCCTTCTCCTTTCTCCTTCTTCTCATCCTTCTCCTTCTCCTTCTCCTTCTCATCCTTCTCCTTCTCCTTCCTCATCTCCAAGGGCATTTAAATTAAAGGTACAGTGTTCTGCACTAATTTAAAGGCTCTCTGAAGCCTAGAAACCCTTTTAATAAGTTAAATTCGTAGCGAATTAATTCGCATCGAATCGAATTTCTTCCTCAAATTCAGCGAATTTTGGGTTGCCTTGCAGGAGAAAATATTTTTTCCTTTTTTTCCCAGTTTACTACTGTTTTAAGTGCACATTTTGATGAACTGTATACTTTTTTGTTTAACCTCCCTAGCAGTCTGATTATGGTGTCCGCTTATGAACCAGCAGTAATAGATCGCTGCTCAGTTCTCCGGCATTCTCAGAGAACACAGTTCTCCTGTGAATGCTGTTTATGAAGCATATGTAGATTAGTTCTCCAAACGAAGGGAGAACGGTCTACAAATGCTGTAAAACGGCTGATTTTACTATAATCTCGCAAGATTACAGTAAAAGATCAGTTTACTAAACAGATGTAAATTATCGCTGCTTAGTTTGCGGTCCCTCCGATTCTCCAGCTCTGGGCTGGAGAATCTGGAGGGAGAACACAGATCTCCAGTGAAGGGCTGAACATGTTCTCCTGAGTGTTATAAACTGTGAATGACCAGAGAATAGCTGCGATCCTCTGAATCACAGCTATTCTCTGTGTCATAAAAGGACACCTATGTCAGTATTTCTGTCCTCAAAGTGGTACATTTTTTTGCATGGAAATATGTTGTTTTTTTATTGTAGGCCTGTAATTCTTAGATATAACTCACTGAAATCTGTCCGAAACAAGAGTCTAGTAAACTTCCCGGGTATGATAAAATTTGAAACACAAAATCATAAATGATCATATAATAAATAATCATAAAAAATAATAATATAATAATAATATATTTAATTAAATAATGTACTCAAACCAAAACAATGAAATTTGAAATAGAGCACCAAGTTCGATCATCGCTGAGATCAGTCGCAGAATCGTTTTTAGTGTCTGATGACGAATTTCCCCACGAATCATTATCACTCAATTCTGCAAGTGGTTCTAATTTACTATCGCTGTTCTCTAGCTGCTCTAAAACCGCTTTTGACCTAAAGGGACACTTTTTGGACGCCATGGATGTTTCTCAGTTTCCAGGCAGAAAGAACAGTAAAAATGCAGGCAGGGCACAGGACAAAGCACTAGGGACAAAATGTATGTGAAATGGTTTGATACACTAATGGAATACTATCAGATTTTTGTGTATTGAGGGAATGTCACATTTTGACATTTTTGAATTTCCCACCAGTTCCGTCCCCCGTACATCCCAACGATCGCAGGGAACGGAACCCGGAAGACAGATGATGGCATCGGCCGGAGGACATGGCCGGGGACTCTGCAGGGGGGGACATTGCGGGAGCGCAGGACAAGGTAAGTGCTGTAAGGATCCCTGAGCAACGCTGCAGGGTAATCCCAACTGTAGCTCGGGGTTACCGCTTCTGGTACTGAAAGTTAACCCCGAGCTACAATTGGGAATACCGCCAGGGGGGTTAATTACATATTTATTATAGTTTTCATCCATGATATGAGATTTTTTTAATGTATTTATTACAGGTATTTATATAGCACTGTCAATTTATGCAGCACTTTACATATATATATTGTACAATCACATCAGTCCCTGCCCTCAAGGAGCTTACAATCTATGGTGCCTAGCTCACATTCATATTTACTAGGGCCAATTTAGACAGGACCCAATTAACCTACTAGCATGTCTTTGGAGTGTGGGAGGAAACCAGAGTACTCAGAGGAAACCCAAGAATTCAAGAGAACGTTTATATTATGTGCTAGTTGCTAATTGTTGGTATTATATGGCTGCACATAATTATGTTGGGTATTTAATATTCATTAGATTGGCACACACAATTATTTAGTGTAGGTAGTTATTCATTTTTATTATGATGGGTATTTAATATTTATTGCTTAGGTTAGTGAGCACCATATTTTGTGGTACTCATTTTTTGGTATATTCTTGTGGTATAGATGCAGCATTTCTATAGTCATTAGATCTTTTGGGTGATTGGTCCAAGTTTTTACTAATAATTAAGAGTTTCACTATTACTCCACTTTTCTTTGGTCCAACATTTGCTTATCAACCTGAACTGGGCACTTCTTTAAAGCAAATCTTTTAACTGGGCTCTTCTTTTAAGCAAATCTTTTAGCTGCAGCAATAAAGCTGCAGAAAATGTTTATCAATAAAATTATTTCTTTATTGCCCCTCAAACAACAGTTTAGTGTCCTTCACCTCCCTCAACCAGAGTGTCAAATATACCTATACTAGTAGACTTCTATAATATGTCCAAGAGTTAGCAACAGTGAGAGAAGTAGTCCCATGGCAGGAGGAGCCAGTAGTGCTTTCTGCCAAACTTTAAAATGATAACATAGTATAGTTTCTCTAAAAAAAAATTGGACTTTATTATTAGATTATGGACAAGAAAACTTAATAAAGGATTAGACTTTGCATTTTAAACAAGCCTCAAGACAAGGGTTTGCATATTTGACTTAGAGCCAAATGAAGCTCTTTATATTCATTACTAATTTATATTTTTTATATTATTATTATTATTATTATTATACAGTATTTATATAGCGCCAATAGTTTGCTCAGCGCTGTACATTATAGTGGGAGACAGTACAGTAACAATACAATGAGATACACGAGGGGTTCGAGGGCCTGCTCCTTGGAGCTTACAATGTAGGAGGGAGGGGAGAGTGGTACAGGAGGAAATATTTACTTCTTATATTGATGTACAGATACTGTATACTTAGTACATTATGATTATCCTCATACTATAGGTGACATGCTATTAAATACTGCTGAGTTTAATGTGCAAGCAGTTGGGATATCTTGATAATGTATTCAGGACAGCAGGTATGCCAAAGATCAACTTACAGAGATGTGTCTTTGGTTCAAAATTTTCCAAAGGAACTGTTTGCAAGTAGTTTGTATGTTCCCTGTGAGCTTCCTTTGATTTACTCCCAAAATACAAAACACTGGCAAGTTAATTGGCTTCCACCCAAACTTGCCTTACCACGTGTGTGCCTGCAGTAGAGACGTTAGACTGATGTGAATAGCTCAATGTTCTCTGAAATGTGCTTTGGAATATATCTGTGCTATAATATATGTATTGAGTAAGATAAATAAATGGTATATGCATTTTAGTAGCCATGGTGCAATACATGAAACTGAGTAACTATTCTGTATTCCTAAAAATAAGGTGCAATGTGTATCATGTCCTGTATGTGGAACCTTGGTAAACAGAGGTTTGAAGTCATTGCCCCACAGCATCTAGTCATGTATGATTTTGTAAAACATCACAGGTTGGGAATCCTATCTTTATATTCTTTTATCACATTACCTGCTTGGAATTTGTGTATTTCATCTGTGTTTGCATATTTTTCCTCCAGATGCTCTGGTTTCTTCCCACAGTACAAAGCTGTACTGTTAGGAGAGAATCTAATGTCTTTTGTATCAATTTTCTTTGTTTGTGTTAAGACTATTATTGTTTCATTCTTTAGTCAGTTAATTATAAAATATTTATTATGAATATTTCATATTTACAATTGTCAGGCAGTAGGTGGAGCTCTAAGCCCCTTTTCACATTTTTAATATTCTGATCTTAACAGAAAGAACTGTTGTTTACAAAGCTCAATACTTGAAGCTGAAATTTAAGTTTAAAGTCATGAAGTCAAAGTAAAGTCAAAATAAAAAAAGAGTGAAAAAACCTACTTCTGCCTCTTTGGATAAACCATCTGCTTACTCTGCAAAACCAGGGTACTTTTGTATTAAATGTTTATTTGTTACATCTGTTATATACAGTAAATAGTAAAAACAATATAAAACATTTATTTAAAAACCTTTCACTGGTTTCAGGACGAACATTGCTGAATTGTGCGCTGTAGGGCTATGACAACAGTGTCATTGGATTGTAAGCTATCTCAAGGGCATGGCATAAAAGATCATTGTATTTTGCTTTGCCTTGTAGAATTGATCAGCACTATTGAAATAAATATATATACTCTGGTGTTTTGAGGAACATTGAGAACCCTGACACTGAGGTTTATTTAAAGTATATCCTAAGCCAAAAAAATTAAATATTAATATGTATATACAGTTGCAAGAAAAAAGTATGTGAACCCCCTGGGATTACGTGGAGTTTTGCATGAATTGGGCATAAAATGTGCTCTGAACGTCATCTAAGTCACAACAATAGAAGAACACAGTCTGCTGAACAGAATACTACACAAACATTAGATGTTGCCATGGTTTAATTGCACATAACATGTAAACATTCACAGTGCAGGGAGGAAAAAAAGTAGTATGTGAAGCCCTAGCTTAATGACTTCTCCCTGAGCTAATTGGAGCCAGGAGTGAGCCAACCTTGACTCCAATCAGTGTGATGATATTGGATGTGTTGCTGACAGCTCTACTGCCCTTAAAAAAACACACACTGTTTTGGGTTTACTGGTTTCAAGAAGCACTGTCTGATGTGAACCATGCCTCTCAGAAAAGCGCTCTCAGAAGACCTACGATCAAGAATTGTTGACTTGCATGAAGCTGGAAAGGGTTACAAAAGTATCTCCAAAAGCCTTGATGTTCATGTGTCCACGATAAGACAGACTGTCTACAAATGGAGAAAGTTTAGCACTGTTGCTACTCTCCCTAGGCGTGGTCATCCTGTAAAAATGACTGCAAGAGCACAGCGCAGAATGCTGCATGAGGTAAAGAAGAATCCCAGAGTGTCAGCTAAAGACCTACAGAAATCTCTGGCACATGCTAACATTTTTGTTGACACATCTACAATAAGGAAAACATTAAACAAGAATGGAGTGCATGGGAGGACACCACGGAGGAAGCCATTGCTGTCCAAAAAGAATATTGCAGCACGTTTGAAGTTTGCAAAAGAGCACCTGGATGTTCCACAGCACTACTGGCAAAATATACTGTGGACAGATGACACCAAGATTGAGTTGTTTGGGAAGAACACACAACACAATGTGTGGAGAAAAAAAAGGCACAGAACACCAACATCAAAACCTCATCCCCACTGTGAAACATGGCGGAGGGAGCATCATGGTTTGGGGCTGCTTTGCTGCCTCAGGGCCTGGATGGATTGTTGTCATTGATGGGAAAATAAATTCCAGAGTTTATCAAGACATTTTGCAGGAAAACGTACGACCATCTGTCCGCCAACTGAAGCTCGGCAGAGGATGGGTGATGCAACAGGACAATGACCCAAAGCATACAAGTAATTCAACAAAACAATGGCTGCAACAGCACAGAATACGCCTTCTGGAGTGGCCCAGTCAGAGCCCTGACCTCAACCCAATTGAAATGCTGTGGCATGACCTTAAGAGAGCGATTCACACCAGACATCCCAAGAATATTGCTACACTGAAACAGTTTTGTGAAGAGGAGTGGTCCAAAATGACTCCAGATCGTTGTGCAGGTCTGATCTGCAACTACAGGAAACGTTTGGTTGAGGTTATTGCTGCCAAAGGAGGGTCAACCAGTTATTAAGTCCAAAGGTTCACATACTTTTTCCTCCCTGCACTGTGAATGTTTACATGTTATGTGCAATTAAACCATGGCAACATCTAATGTTTGTGTAGTATTATGTTCAGCAGACTGTGTTCTTCTATTGTTGTGACTTAGATGACGTTCAGAGCACATTTTATGCCCAATTCATGCAAAACTCCACGTAATCCCAAGGGGTTCACATACTTTTTCTTGCAACTGTATATATATATATATATATATATATATATATATATATATATATATATATAAACTTTCAAATAAAAACTTCAAAATAAAACTCCACATTAAGCTAATTTGGAGGTGAGAGGAAGTGATGTGCGCAGCATGGCTTGCGCAGCACCTCATTGGCTGGATTCCTCTTCTTCATGTATTGGCTGAAGTTTGCAGGAGACATCTTCATCTGCAGCTAACATTATCCAGTCATGTCTGAGGACAGTGACATCAGGACCCAGAATTGACGTTTTACAGGAAGGGGAGATCAGTAAGCAGGTGTTCTCTGATCTCCCTTCCTTCTACAGGTGGCACCCACCATGCAGGCCTCAGATCCACTGATGGGAGCATGGAGCCTTGGAAGCATGGCTGCAAAGGTACCGCCACCATAGTTTCAGCAGCGGGGGGTTTTACACAACACCCCTCCACTATTGCCATACTATAGTGGAAGCGCCTTTGCAGCATAATGGGAAGTGGTTGGGGGACAGTAAAAGTGTGGCTCAGCAGCACACATTTTTAATGTCCCTCAAACACAAGTGTAAATAAGAACTAACAGGAAGCATCTCACTGTGCTTATGTGATCATTATCATTATGATGAT